GGATTATGAGATAAATAAATTGCACTGACATTATCACAATAAACAAGTGTGGCCTGCTGTAGACACCTAAAAATGTCTCCCCAAAACCAAACCTGATGATGAACAACCTTTCACCACCATTGTTGGTCGGGTTTTGAGTAATTAATCTTTAGAATGCTTAAAATCCATATTTAGTCAAACATATTCAGTCCACAAATCAGTCCAAGCATTTATTCAAACTCAGTCCAACCCTCATTTCAGCCCAAATCCTTTTTAATCCATTTCGTTATATTTATTAATTAAGTCCGATTAATAAATATTAAAACCCTAAGCCTAAAATAAGTCCGGAGCATTGAAACGACACCTAAAGTATCCCGTATTTAATGCAAAATAAAAGATAAAAATGAACTTGGACGAAATTCCAGAAAACACAAATGTCGCGACACGGCAATATCTGTCGCGTCACGGCAACATTTGCTGCCCCACGGCAATTTTTGTTGCGTCATGGCAGTTCTGCCATGACACGACAATTTCTAGGGTTTCAATTTTCGCGGCGCTTCAGTTCTAGGGTTCCGTGCTTCACCCCTCACATTTCCTTCTATAAATACGAGGTTGATTTCACCAGTTTCGGGGTACCAAACAATTCTCTCTTTATCTCTTATGCACCAACACACATTCTAATTCCTCCCTCTCTCATTCTAAGCCTTAATCCTATTCTCCTAATTTCATCATACATCCCCTAAGCACTCCTTGGAATCCGTACTTTACCCGAAATTCTAAACTTAAACCAAAGCGTGAAAGGTAGAACTGTTTGAGGGTTTGGCCCAAAATCAACTCTACTTTTATTTAATTTAATTTCAATTTGATATATATCTATTGAAGTTACTAACGTTTTTATTCATGATGTAGCGATTTAAAGAGGCGAAGAACGTGAGTAATTAATTCACTAGATTACTCTTATTTTTATTCTTATTGCTGGTATCATGATTAGGTTTACTATTATGCTTTGATTTGACTAACGTTATTATGGTTAAATTGCTTCCAATATTATTGTTTATTCTATTGTTATTGTTGATCACCATATTGCATGTTTAAAAGGAAATATGTAATTGAATATAACGACTAATAAGATAATTTGGACAACTGGTTAGGATCCTTTTTAATCTTATTGTTTAATCAAGTGATCACTAATATTTTAGAATTATGTGTTGCATTAATATTCAACCAATTTAGCCTAACTTAGTTTAGAGAAAATTGAATCTTTGTATTGTGTGCCTTTGATATCACAGGAAATACTTTTCACTATAAGAATAGAGTAGAGGCCATTACGGGCGAATGTGACTCCATGACTCACTTCGTACCAACATCCCCGATCCTCTTTTTGTGGTTCTGAACCATATGGAGTTAGTAATCTCATGGATTATGAATGAGGTGTAACCTTCACGGGTCAATCGTTGTTGCCTATCGTTGTCCCTTAATCGTGGTTGCCTTGTAATGATTCGTGAACGATTTACAAGTTCCTTATAAAATTTTTGGCGGCTCCCTACTTTTCTTTGTCCCTAATCGTATGTCAATTCCCACTACCTATGAATGCCAAGCATATTCACAACATGCTTAACGTAGGCGCGCTTCGAATGACGCCTACACCTGCAGGAGAGGACAACGTAGCTGTAAAAGAAGATTATGAAGCCAACATGCCTTGAAAACAACATTTGCGACGCCTCTGTATTCTGCCTCTGCACTTGATTTGGAAAGTGTATGATGACGCTTAGACGACCAAGAAATAAGATTGTCACCCAAAAAACAACAGTATCCAGAAGTAGAGCGTCGAGTGTCAGGACACCCGCCCCAATCTGCATCAGTATAAGTGATCAAGTTTTTCGGAGCAGAATGATATAAGTGTAACCCGTGATCAATGGAGCCCAGAATATATCGCAGAATCCGTTTTAATGCATCATAATGAGCCTCTCTGGGGTCGTGCATGAATAAACAAACTTGTTGAATTGCATAAGCTATATCAGGACGAGTAAAAGTTAGGTACTGTAATGCACTTGCAACATTATGATAGAGTGTTGGATCATGAAATTTAGGCCCTGTCTTTGCACTTAAGCTTGGATTGTGTATCCAGCGGAGTTGCTGCGGGTTTACAACTAGCCATGCCTGCGCGCTCTAAGATTTCCTATGCATATTTCTACTAAGTTTAAAAACAGATATGATGGAGTACGTACGAGTAACAGCAATGCCCAGAAAAAAATTCAGAGGACCTAAATCAGTCATTAGAAATCCTGTACGTAAGTGAGAGATGATACGCTCACGTAGCAAATCTGAAGAGGTAACCAACACAATATCTTCAACATACAAAAGTAAGTATGCCATATCATTCCCATGCCGGAATATAAACAAAGAATTGTCACTCTTAGCAATGATAAACCCCGTCTACACCAAATAGTTAGCAAATCGCTAATACCAAGCCCTTGGGGCTTGTTTGAGGCCGTAAAGAGCCTTGCAAAGTCTACAAACATACTCTGGATATCTCTTGTCAACAAATTCGGGGGGTTGATGCATATACACACACTCATTCATATCAGCGTGCAAAAATGCATTTTTCACATCAAGTTGGTGAATAGACCACTTTCGCGCCATAACTAAGCTCAACACAGTGCGAATAGTAGCCGGTTTTACAACCGGACTAAATTTCTAGTAACAATCCACACCTTCCACCTGTGACCTGCCATTACAAACTAAATGAGCCTTGTGTCTTTCAAGATCACCATTAGCATTTAATTTATGACGGAATAACCACATGCAATTAACAATATTCACCCCTGTAGGCCTAGGAACCAATTCCCATGTCCCCGTTTCAATTAAAGCACTATATTCATCACGCATCACATCATTTCAATTTGGGTCCGGAAGGGCTTGTTTGTGATTTTTGGGGAGTGGGGAGCGAATAGACACGATTAAACCAAATTTTGGGTTGGGTTTAAAGATGTCGTGCTTTGACCGTGTTTGCATGGGTGGGGATAAAGGAGGTGGTCTTGTAGGTGTGATGGGCGTGATGCCTCTCTGAGGTAAGGGTGTGTATGTGACTTGAGTAGGCATGCCTGGGAGTTAGCGCGACGGTATGTGCTTGCTGGGAGGGTGAGGCAGGCACACCAGCTTCAATTCTGCCTGGGCGCTGGGTGTACTGCGCTTGCTGGCTGGCTGTGCGACTGGTGCAAAATGTTCCGTAGGGTGGCTGGGATAGGCTGGGTTTGGCCACGATCGTCCTACGGACCTTGCTGCCCTGCACGATTAGTAACTAAAATATGCTAAAAAATAGGGTAGAGATCATCGACACTTAAGAAATCATAATCTGAGGCACGAAATTGACAAATGTTTCAAAACGGAAGATTGTTTTCATCAAAAGTGACGTGTCTAGAGATGATGATTTTATTAGTGGTAATATCTAAACAACGATATCCCCTATGTTCGGCCGGATAGCCTAAGAAAACGCAAGGTGTAGATCGGGGAGCAAGTTTGTGAGGCATGGTTGCCGATAGGTTTGGGAAACATAGACACCCAAACACTCTAAGATGACTATAGGACAGGACAACCCCAAACAAAGCTTGAGCCGGAGTGATGTGATTGAGAGTTTTGGTAGGAAGAATGTTTAGGAGATATGTGGCCATCTCTAAGGCATGATTTCAAAAAGGCGGTGGGAGTGAGGCATGAAAGAGTAGAGTACGCTTAACATTGTTAAGAGTACGAATCAAGAGTTCGGCTTTGCCGTTTTGAGAGGATGTGCGAGGACAAGAGAAGCGGAAAACCAAACCATTTTTGACACAAAATAATTTGAATGGGTCATTATCAAATTTGCGACCATGATTGCTTTGAAAAGACTTTATGGGACGTTCAAATTGAGTTAACATTGTCGAAAGTTAAGGAAAGTTTGGAAAGCTAGAGACTTGTAAACAAGAGGAATAGTCCACATATAATGAGTATAATCATCCAATAGATCTAGGTAATATTTGTGACCTTTATCACTACGAATGGGAGAAGTCCACAAATCGTCATGAATAATGTCAAAAGCAGAAAAAGTAGTACTATTGCAATTATTAAACGACAAGCGAGTATGTTTTCCTAATTGACAACCTACGCAAAAATTGGAGTCATGCTCCTTATTACAATCAATCAAACTTTTACTTCTAAGAAAATTAAAAGTACGTGCCTCGAGATGTCCTAAACGACTGTGCCATGTGGATGGAGATAAAGCAGTGAGAGAAGTGGCTAGAAAAGTTGATGGTGGAGCTTTGGTCATAGGATAGAGATCCCTGGTACTATTGCATCTGGTTATTAGTCCCCGTTCGAAGATCCTTCGTAGAAAAACCACTAGGATCAAACTCTATTGACACAGAATTATCAGAAGTAAATTTTCTAACAGAAATTAAATTTTTGATGATTTGAGGGGCTAAATACACATTACGTAAAGACAAAGTTAATTAGCAATAGTAGAATGACCATAACCCATAATTGGAATGCGTTGACCATTCCCCACTTGAATATAATTATTTGTGCTTAAATTAAAAAGGGGGTAAGAGAGTACCGACATTATTCGTCATGTGGGAAGTGGCTCCGGAATCCATGTACCAAGACGGATCATAATTATGGAATCCCATAGTCGCAAACGCATTGCCTACCTCAGTCGGACTCATGGTCGAATCGTACTCCGAACCTTGTTGCTGATGTTGTAGGGAGGCCGAGTAATAGACCTGCTGGGGCTGGCCTTGGTGCTGTGGCGGGCCAGGTCTTGGTGCGGCAGCCCACTGTTGTAGGTGTGGATAAGGGGGGTAGCCCCATTGCAGGGCTTACTGGCTGGTAAGGGGGTGCGCACCAGCCCACTGCTGCTATGAGGAACCCCAAGCAGACGCTCCTTACTGATGTTGTTGGGGCTGCTGCTGCAGTTGCGGACCCCGGCCACGACCCCTACCTCGACCGTGGCCACGCCCACCTGGAGAAACGCCACGCCCTGCTGACTGGGGCTACTGCTGCTGCGGCGTGGCAGCGGTGGGTTGACCCGACGAGCCGGATTGAGCAACAAAAGATGAAGCCGAGGCGGAGACATCATTGGCGCGCCTCGATTCCTCTAGTAACAATCTAGAACGCGCAGTTTTAAACGAAGGTAGGGGCTCCGTTTGTTGTATCGTTGCAGCAACGGTGTCGAAATCCGTATTCATAAGACCCGAAACCAAGCGAATTACAAGTTTTTGTTCCGACACGGGTTGATCAACGTTAGCAAGTTGATCCTTCAAATTCTTCAATTCCCGACAATATGATGCAATGTCAGAAAATATAGAGAGATGCACTTGATTAAACTGGTTTTCAAGATAAACGGCCCTCGTGGTTTTGTTATCTTGAAAAATCTCCTTGAGTTTATTCCAAAGTTGCTGCGTCGTATCCCCTTTGCACAATACTGTTTCAAGTAATTCGATAGAAATTGTGTCATAGATCCAGTTTTTGACAACCGAATCAAGCTTTTTCCACATAGCATCAAACACATCAGCAGGCTTTTTAGTTTTAGAGTCGATATGATCAAGAACGTTGAATGCATGAGCATGACATTTAAATAATTCAACCCAATTTGAGTATTGAACCTTCTCGGGATCAAGAGTTAAAAGGATCGAAATTTTTGATATTGTTGACTCCGAAAGCAGGATGAAAATCAGACGAAGAAGATTCTCCATCCTTGGTCATGGTAGGCGGCTAGGTGGTGCTAGGGAAGTAGAATGGATGGCGGCTAGGGCTTGGAAAGAAAACGGAAAAAAAAAAATATTGCGGAAGCTAGGTTGGATCTAAAACCTAGGTTGTGATACCATGTTAGGTGACCAACTCAACCAAAGCTTAAGCTGATAGTTAAAGCCCATGATTTGTTTATATACTCTATCACGCCCCTGCACATGAGAGTCCATTTGGGCTTGAAGTGTGGATGTAGCATGGGCCCCACCATACCTAGCGTTTAATATTCTACTTTGAAAGGAGGGGTGGATGAGATTCGAACCCGTGACCTTTGTGTCAGCTTTCCTCTTGATATCATGTTAGTAGATCAACTCAACCAAAAATTTAAGTTGATGGTTGAAACCTAGAATCGGTTTATATACTCTATCAAATTCAACCGCCCAAGGCCCTGAGGTTAGGTTTTCAACAAAACAATTTATTTTGTTTTAAGGTACCGAAAGAAGATACTTGTATTGCATTATATTGTGGTGTTTTCCAGATTAATTTTCTTTCAGCTGACCCCTGCGACGTAGGTCCGAAGTATACTACTTTTACTCTTTCAGTTGCTGTCACCTAATTACTTACGAGCTATCATGCTGTCAAATGGGCCACTTTGATTCAATACCATTTCTAAATATACTGCTACTTCGAAGATGAATTGTGATTATAGAGTAAAAACACTAAGGGGGCGTTTGGTTCGGATAATGGAAACAGAACGGAAAGGAAATAGATAAAAGGAGGTAAAGGAATCATTTAAATATTACCTTTTCATATATTTAGTTTAATCATGGAAAGGAATAATTTAGTTTACACCCTTTGTTTGTGTTTGAGGCTAGGTTGCACAAGAACGGGTACTGACATGGATACGGGTACGAAACGGATACGGGAAAACGTCTATCTCAAAATAAGGGACACGAGTATGGGATGTTAAAATTCATATAACATATTTAAAAAATATGAATTTGACCATATATTTGTCATTTTGTCCTTTCATTAGATCATACTTAATCATATTAACAATGAGGTATATATGAAGACACCCATATTATTTAACAAGTACCTTATTTATCTTAGTTTATTTAAATTTTCTCAATTAAAAAAAAAGTTGAACAGCCCATATAATAGTAGGATACAGTCCGAGACGTATCGTCATGTGTCCTACAAGTGTCAGTGTCTGACACGGACACGGCAGTTGAATAAAGTGTCCATGTAACCTAGGTTTGAGGAGGGTAAGGGTATTTATTACCCTCAGTTTTTGAGATGTAACAAATGAGAGGTAACCATTACCCTAAGGTAATAGTAATTAATTGTTACCAAACCTTTTAACCAAACATTTGGTAACGGTATTCGTTTCCAATCCAAAAAATACACTAACCAAACATGCTTTAAGAGTACATAAATCAATCCTGAACTATTTAAACCATCATCTTAAACTTTTCATACTCTGTACCATGTGAAAAAAACCAACTCAACTCAACCATTAGCTTAAGTTTATTGTTGAGTTAGTTCTCTAATATGGTATCAAAAGTTTAAACTGATGGTTGAAACTTAAGATTATTTATGAGTATATTGTATCATGAGCAAATGTAAACTGAAATAACTAAGTTAATTTTGATAATTTAACAAATTATTTTTCATCAGTTACATTGATACACGGCCAAGTTTTTAGTTCAACACATTTCAACTTTTGAATGCTTAGCTTAGTTGAGAAAACCATCCAGCATGGCTATAATGTTGTACGATGACCAACAAGTTAACAAAGACTAGCCTAAGTTAATATTGTGGCTTAACAAAACATTATATTAAGTTCTAAAGTTAATGATCATAAATATCTTGTCACCAAACACATAGAATTAATTAGGTCAAATTATGTTCAATTCATTTCAAACTCTTAAATGCTTAGATGAGATGGTCAAACAAGCTAAGCATGCTAATGCATATAATTGTACCACAGATCCTAGAGAAGATTTTAGATAGAGTATATACTTATTTCAATATTATTATCTCATAATGGGCATAAGATAGACTAATTGTAAAAGACAATAAATAAATATCAATATATCTTACTACGCATTGAATACTACTATAAGTGTGTTTCATCTGATCTTTTATAAGACCCAAAGACAAGTGAGTTGGATTAGCTCGAGCCACAAGTTAAACAATCTTATGGTTAGCTTAGTTGGCAAAGTACGTATGTATCGAAGGTCATACTTAGATTAATTGCCAATTTGTCATATACAACTACAAGTATTCATTATTGTTATACCTCTTTAAAAACAATACAAAGTATCAATTTATCCGCCAACTAACTATAGATTATAGAATCACCCTTGACATATTTGAAAAGTCAATAGAGACTATTTACTTCATCAATCAATTGGTACAAAACATATGAAATTGAGAAGTAGGTAAATTAATAACTAGAAATGCAGCTTTTACGCAAGTCAATGTTGCAAAACAGTAGACAGTAGGTATATATCAATATATGCAATTAAATTGGGTTATATACATGAATATATTATTAATTCATGGCTCAATTAAACAGTCAAACTTTACTATCACTACTTCTTTTGACTTGCATCTAATTCTTTTTTTCTTCACCATCCAGCTAGCCAACAAGACTACAAGAATACGTACAAATTCCTATTGAATGTCACAATTTCTAACAAATGAGACAGTTTGTGTTTTTTTCTTTTTCTTTGGCAACAGCAGTCTCCATTGTTTGTTATCGTCAGCTAACTAAATTTAGCTAGCGTGTTCCCTTTATCAGAAATAAGGTGTTGCAGTTTGATTTTATTGAACTATTGTATTGGTTGATCTAAAGTTTACAACTTTAATATGGTATGATCTGATATATTTAATTGTGTACTGTGACTAAACATTTGGTATTTTTTCAATAAACATATAAAAAAAATATTATTAAGTGTGATATTGTTAGATTCTTTTTGATGTGTATGTACTTTCTAAATATGTAATTTTTATAATTTTATTAATATTAATACTTGTAGTATGGTTTGATTTGATCTGATCTAGTCCGATTTTGACAAAGTAAAGAAATAGGTTAAAGATAAATTTTTTTAATTTGTAGTTTCAGACATTAATGGTAATTCAATTATATACAGTCCTATACTATAATCATATAATTATATCACAAACTATTGTGTGCGGCAGTTTGCACCCAATGTTTGGTGCGGCACTCTTCCTTTCTCCGTTCTCCATTTTCCGGTTTTTTACTTTTCTTCCCTCTGAAAATCAGAAAAGTGAACCTTTCTCTCTCCTCTTTCTTCTTTCTTCCACCTGAAAAACTCCATGTTCATTTCTTTCGCTGAAAAAATTCCTTCGATTATTGTATTCTAGGGTTTCAACGAGGCGAAATTGCTGCGATTTGGAATTGAATCTAAGGCTGCTATTGAATCGAAATCGGTGGTGCGATTTGCGATTGAATTGATTTGCGGCTACGTTGTGGACGGTGGTTGGAGGTGGTGCCGCAATTGGGTGATTTTGGGGAGGTGTAGGAAGAATGTCATGACCTGCAAATAGATCAAAGTCGAACAAAGCCAATTTTTGGGTCAAGGCGATCGGCGATAATGGACATGGAAGATCGGGCCACCGTGAGTTCTGCCCCCCACCGCTGCTGTTGCCGGAAATAATGGACATGGTCTGCTTCATTCACCGAATTCTCGCTTGTGTTGCCGGAAATGATGGACATCGTCTGCTTCAGTCATCGAATTCTTCGATGTTAATTTAGAAAGATATTCTATATTTGATCTCCTAAAGTTGTGGTTAGTGTTGATTGTTTAGTGAGTTGTTGCGCAAAAGGGAAAGGAAGAGAGGAAGAGGGGGAAAGAGGAGAGAGAAGCAAATGAAAATACATTGATGTTAATCATATAAGACAATAAATGACGCATATCAACCAATAAAAGTAATACTCCCTCCGCCCGGAGTTATCTGCACCAAAGGACATAATTGCGGACCCCTAGGCAAAACTTCTTAAACAAGATTATTGAAAAGTAAGAGAAGAGAGAAGGGATAATTAAACTAAACTAAAATAAAACACACAATTAATAAAAAAAACTTAAAAAAAAAAAAAAAAACCACCAACCTAGCCCAGCCACCCTGCCTGCCCCCTGTCCCCACCCCCACACTCGCTGACGTCAAGACTCCCCCTCCTGTGCTGGCGCCGCCCCTCCCAACCCCTTTTCGTCGCCCCTCCCTTTCCCCTTGAAACACCAACAAACAATAGCCCACCAATCCCGCAACATCGTCTCCTAACGTACACTCACCTCCTTACACCAGAACACCACCAAACCACAACCAATACCACCGTCGCATCCCCATAACACCAATAACAACTACACTCCTTCTTCCTCTGCCATTTCAAACCTGCATTTGCACACACATCTACCGCAATCACCCACGCAACACTAATCCCCAACAACCGAACGTATGCACCAACCTAGCCCATGAACCACCAACACCCAACCCCACTTACACAACCCCCCCCCCCCCCGAAACCACCACCAAAACCCACGAAACCCATCACCAAACCCATGAAACCCGCCACCAAACCCACAAAACCCAGATCTGAAGAATTGCGCGACGACAAATTGCGGTGGTGCTGGGGTAAAGTGGTGGAGAATTGCGCGACGAATTGCGGTGGTGCTGGTGCTCTGAGCTCGTCTGGGCTGGTGGTAGGGGCGGCGAAGGTGGATGGGGTAAGGTGGTGGATTAGTTGGTAAGTCAATGTAATTAACAAATTGTAAACAAAGTTAAAAATTTTAAGTAAGGGTAAAGTTGACATTTTACTGCTAAAAATTTACCAAATTTGAAAATAAAAAAAATTGTTGCAGATAATAGAGAGCACCTATTTTTAGTAAATGTTGCAGATAATAGCGGGCGGAGGGAGTATATCAGTCAATTGATGTCTGATATCAGTCAACATTAGGAACATATCAGACATTAATAAAAA